TATGTAGAATATACAAATAACTAAAAAAATTTAGAACCCCCCCAAAGTAAAAGATCCAATAAAAAACAAGCATAAAAAATGAATAGAGACTTCACAGAAGAAGTACAAATGGCCAGAAAATACATAGAGAAATGCTCAACATCACTGGCCATTAGAGAAATGCAAATGAAAGCTACACTGAGATTCCATGTTACCCCAAAAAGAATGGCTATCATCAAGAAATCAAATAATTACAAATGCTGAAGATGCTATAAGAAAAAACGAACTCTTCTGCATTGCTGAGAGAAATGTAAATAGTATAAACACTCTGGAACTCATTATGGGGATTCCTTGAAAAACTAAAACTAGAAATTCTATTTGACATGGCTATTCGCCTTCTAGATATCTTCCCAAAAGAGTCAAAAACATCACATCACAGTGATCCACGTGTACCCATGTTTACAGCAGCACAGCTCACAATAATTGAATCTTGTAAGCAGCCTATGTGTCCACCAACAGATGAATGGACAAAGGGAATGTAGCTGTGCATGATGGAGTAACATCTGCCATAAAGAAAGATAAACATGAGTCATTGGTAGGAAAAAAGATGCACCCTGAGACCGTAATGTTAAGTGAAATAAATCAGATTCGCAAACTTAAATATCACATGGTTTTGTCTTACATGAAAAGCCCAAAACATAAAGAGCAAAATAAAAGACAGATACTAGAAAGTAAAGAGATCTTTCTAGAGTGGGGAGGTGTATAATGTAATCTTCCTTTACCTTAACTACTAAATGTTGCTTTCCTAACAACAAGAATGTCTTATATAAATGTAATTGAGTTCAAATTCAAGAAATTTAACATAAGTATGTTTTATCTAATTACAGATTATTTTCTAATTTTGTTGGTCAATTTCTCCAATGTCTCTTCTAGAAAACTTTTACTTTTCAGAAAAGTGTCCAGTTCAGGATCATGTATTACACTGATTTATCTTTAAGTTAGTCTTTAATCTAAAACAGCTTCTTAACCCTCCTTTGTCATTCATGATATTGATTTTTCAAGATTATATGCCACTTATCTTATTAAAATGTAGCTATTTCACAGAATTTTTCTTAATTTGGTTTTGTTTGATGTTTCTTCATGCATTTTTGACTGAAATGATACATTAATACTGAATTCTCTTTTATTCCTTAAATTTTTCTGCTATCTTGAATCTGCTATCAAATAAATTAGTAAATTTTAAATAATTATTGTAGTTTTCAATACTGGAGATTCCATTTGGTTCTTCTTATAGTTTCCTTTTCTCTATTGAGATTTTCTATTTGTTGAGTTATTTTTACTACATTTTCCTTGAAGTCTTTGGACAATATTTCCTATAATTATTTGAGTACATCTTAATAAATAGTAAATTTTGAAGTCTTTGTTGACAAATTATTTTCTGTAACCAAATCTGACCACAGAGCCTTTGCACTTAGTGACATCTCCAGCTTTTTTGGTGTGTAGGGGATCACAGGATCACACTAAGTTGCTAACTTGTGAGCCTCCTGCCTCAGCCTCCCAGAATGCTGTGATTACCTAAGACTTGTGCCACCATTCTCAGCCATTTGTTGGCTAAATTCAGTGTCTGGGCCAGTCAGAACTGATTTCTGTTGACTTCTTTATTTTCCTTGTGACAGATGAAAACAATTTGTTTCTTTACACATCTCAAAACTATAGAGATTTGATATATTAGGTAATATAAACAACAATTCTAGATTCTTAGGTTGTTCATTCAGTGATTATTTTTTGGGGAGAGGTAAGGAAATTTGGCTGAAAATGTAGAATCTCTCTTCCCCCTAACGAACCACTAATGCCTCAATTTTTTCAGTCTTACCCTCATGGTTTTAAAAACCTAACTTACTGGACATTCACAATTTGTGGTGTTTTGTGTATGTGTGCGTGTGGGTTGGGGATTGAACTCAGGACCTTGTACTTGCTAGGCAGACACTTGGCTGCAGAGCTATACCCCTAACCCCCACTTTGAGCCTTTAAAGCATCCTTCCTCTACCCTGTGATTTAACTTAATATAGGTTGGGAAACATTCAAAGTCCACCAGGTCTTCAACTGTCCCTGGCTTTCCCCTTCCACTGCCTTCTTTTGGAGAGACCCAAGTGCACACAGTTCCCCAGTCAGCCGCAGTCCAGTGGCAAGATTGTCTAGCACTTCTGTGACTCCAGGTTCTAGGACCTCTCTGTTTCTAGGTACTCTGAGACCACAACCTCAGATTAGCAAAGATCCAGGTTTTCCCTGTTCATTTTCTACTGAGTTTGCTACTGTTACTAACAACACCCTGAGTCTTGCCCCCTTTTTCTTTTCAAGATAAACCATCTAGTAGCAACCTGGTATCCTTCCCAACCCATTCGGCAATGGTAAAATTGTAATCCTGACAGATTTATAGGGAAGATAATGAAATTGGGGGAGGGCATGATAGCACTCCAGCAAGTAGTTTGCAAACTCTGACACCCAAAACCTGAGCAGTTTTTCATGGATAAATGCTTCTCCAATTTTTGTCAGCTTCTAGTTTGTTTCTGGATCCCTGAAATATCTTTTGCCCAGTTTTATGATTATTGAGAAGAGTATATGCCAACCGCTCCATGCCCACACAGTGAGAAGTTCCATTATTCTTCTGACATATTTGAAGTGTGTTCCTGTGCATTTTATAGATGTAACTTTATCATTTACTATGTGACTATCTAAGGACCTTATCATTTATTAAAGAGTTACTTTTTTGATGGAACAGGGGACTGGATCCAGGGCTTACCCTGAGGTACATCCCTTCCCTTTTTACCTTTTATGTGGAGCAAGGTCTTGCTAAATTGCTGCCGGACACCTTGAATTTGCAATTCTCCTGCTGGTATGACAAGCATGTACCAGCAGGCTTGCTAGAATATTTATGCCTTGTTGAATGATTTAAAATGTCACCTTTGGTATATGTTACATTTCTATGTGTATTTAGCCTTTAAACTATTTTATTCACCAGCCTGATTTTATGTGTCCATCTTGAACCGTGTGAATTTCAAGCTCTCTGTGATGTGTTTGGCTATCTTTTGAATGTGTCTCCCCCACTTAACCCTTCTTCACATGTAGCTATTTCTTTTCACTCTTCATGAATACTCTTCCATGTTTGTTTCCCAGGTAAACGTTTAGTATCATCTTGTCTAACATACAAGAAAAAAAATTATAAGTTTTATTGAGAGTATATTATATTCCTAAATTAACTTATGCAGAACCAACATATTGATCATATTGAAATGGTCTAGCCAAGAATAAGAGACGTGCAAGTCTGTGCTCCAAGATTTTCCTCATACAGGGTTCATACATTTCTCATTTAGATTACTCTAACATATTTTACTTCTGTCGTATTTGTATTCTTAACCGCATCCAAAATTCAAACAACCCTGACCAGCCTCAAATCATTACCCAGCCATAGTGGGATTAAAAGAACAAGAATGTTAGAGGCAGCTAAACCTGGAAACAGATCCTGACTTTCCCTCTTCTTGAGTTTGTTCACCTGTGAAATATGAAGGATGACACATCCGCTAAAGAACACTCTCAAGATGACTGAGATAAATTATATAAAATAACCTCCATACAAAATTATCCCTGCCACATCTTTTTATAATATAATTGTTAATTCTTGGACTGTCCATGTTTCCTTTTCTGTATTTCAGAGTCCGCCTCTGTCCTTAGAGCTGTATGGGCAGGATCTTTGTGCTGAAACTTTATCAATAAGTTGTTGGGAGAAGGGCTTGTGGGTAAACAGTAAAACACAGAGGGTTACTTATTCTTTTTAGAGTAGGATCTACTCAAACGTGTGGGATGTGTTTGCTTTTCCGGTTCCTTGGTCTGCTCCTGTCCCCATTCTAGGATTATTTCCTTGGCAATGAAATTCAGGTTCTGAAGCGCACCATCTCCCCTTCATTTCCGAGCTCCATGATGTTAGGAGAGGAAGAAATCTCATCAAATCTTCAGCAACGTTTCAGAGTATCATCTAGCCCCAGGCTCCTCCCAATTCCCTCGCTGTCTCATCAAGCAGGCTCTGTGCACGCCTGTCTCTATTTTCTCCCCATAAAGCTGAAGTAATCACTGTTAATGCCAGGTAAGATGCTCTGAGATCTTAAGATGAAAAGATTTAAGCCCATAAACATGGAATTGGAGACTGCTTGATGCACACATCCTGGACCCCTTATTCAGTGCTCAGCTGCTCTGCAATCCGGCTCCCTCTCAAAGGCAAGGGGCCACGTGCGAAGCTGGGGACACACTGCCTTTAAAGACACCAAATGTCCTATTTTCGAAAAACAGCCTGTTTGTTTCTGAGGCAGCCCTTGGCTGCTGCTCTAGAATCCCTGAGCCAAGCAAAACCTCCCATAGCAGCTGGAGGATGCAGGTGCTTCCCGGCTCCTCCAGATTCACACCTGGGGCGAGAGCAGAGACCATTCCCAGTCTAGCCCTTTGCTGGCTTGGGCTGCCTCCTCACCTCAGCTGGACACCAAAGTGGCCTGCCCTTTAAGGTACCCCCCTTGCCCCACCGTGTAAGGGATGTGCTTTCCTCACATTGGTGGTTTGCCTGTTCTCTTTTTTGGCAGTAGAATCCTCCTCACAAATGCAATTTTCTCCTGGAATTCAGACTTTGTGACAAACAACAGCAAGACAGTTCTACATATGAGAGAGTTGAGGCCGCAGGACCCTGTGGATTTCCAGTCCACCCTTTCTTCCACATTGACTTGCGGGGGTGGAGGGGGTGGGCATTCACAGAGGGGGGGACTGGCACATTCACAGAGCCTGGGGCTCCTCCCAGCATAATCTGAAACCTAATGCAAGGAAAAAGAATACATAGCTTTATAATGAGGTTTTACAAGAAAAGAAAAATGAGACTGTAGCACCAGATAACATTCTCAACAAAAACTTACAATAAAAAGAGCATTAACAGCGTAGGAGACCAACACAAGTCACGGCACTTAGATCACGACATCCTCTCTGACCTTGCTTCACGGTGACTTTGGGTTACTTGAGTTTTCCCGAATTCGGTTCTTTTCTTAGGTGAAAGCCAACGACATTCACTTCTACCTTTGGGTCTTTCCAAGCAGTCGTTGGCAAAGCTCTTGCTTCCTCCAGGAACATTCTAAGGAGAATAATGGGGATTGATGACAAAATGTATTTGCTGCATAAAGTCCATGTTTTGCAATATTTTAAGTGAGCCAAAATGTAATCCCAATTATGACTATCTTTAAAATAATTACTCATTCACCTGTAATCATTCTCCTTTATTAGAGTTTAAACCTGTACTCGCAATTCATTAACGCTTCCATATTTTATAACTTTCTATATGATGCATTTATTACCTTTGCTTTGCAAGCCATCCCCACTAAAACTTGTTCAAGGCAACTCTGGCATTTTTAGGATGTGGTTTTTAAGTGGTATTGGTGTGCAAATTACATTAGCACATCCAAATTAAATTGTTTTTGCTCTAATGGATAGTGTCAAACAGATAAATACCCACTTTGGATTTTTAGCCATAAAGAATGTGGTCTTAAAAATATCAATATAAGAGCATGCATAAAAATCTAAAATTTAGGGAAAGTTGGGAATATACACCGGGGTTTTGCCCGATGAAATTATTTTCATCTTAAAACTGGTCTTGAGGCTTCTAGATTTAATAAAAAACAAAAAAAAAAAATCAGCACATTCCACAAAGAAGACAGCTTACAGGAAGAAGACGGAGACAGATAGAAAACTGGCCTTCCCCAAAGGCTCTTTCTTTCTTTTTTGGTTTCCTTGGTAAATGTCTGGATCCTTTGAGCTGGACTCTGTTAATTATGCTATTGAAGCTGGGGATTTCGCTCAGCAGCATAAGTACCTGCCTTGCAAGCAGACGGTTGTGAGTTCGATCCCCGGTACCGATAAAAAGATAAAAGATTTTTAAAAAATCTGAAACCCTAAATGACTAGATCCTTTAAGCTGGACTCTGTTAATTATGCTATTCCTTTTCATGATGGCGTACAATATACACAACATTTTCATATCTGTCTCATTTCATTTCATTGTCACGATAATCCTGGGACACATGAGGATTAACCCTCTTTATACCTATTCTTCAGAGGAGGAAACCGCCTGTGTGGAGACACTAACCACCCACACGCCTGGTCCATTGGGTATCCAGCGCCCCTCCCACTGCCCTGTTCAGAGCCCCAGTGCTGATGTGCTGCCCCAGGGCCACTGGCTCCCTCAGGAGGGCCACTGACTCCTCCTCCCCTGCCTAATTCTTTTAGCAAGAGCAGATGCTTTGATCATCTTGTGAAGGCCTCAGTCCCTTAGCCCCTATACTGGAAATACATGTGCCTGGCTCATAACCATACTAAGGAGCTCCACTTGGTGCATAACATGTAGCAACTAGTTTCCAACATGACACTTTTATTTCCTTGTGTCTTATCATGGAGGTGCCCTCTTTAGGTGCCTAAGTCTTGGCTGTCATAGTTCTTCAGAGTCATCCCAGAGCCTCAGGGCAAGCCTGTCTTCCTAATTGAGAGCAAGTACAGAGCTTGTGCTACCTTTGGAAGACCTACCAAGGACGCTGCTCCCCAGGGGGCTTTCCTGCCCTGTCAATCTGGTCGTACAGGCAGCTCCCAAGCTGTATCTTGGGTCACCTCTTTCCTTTTCTCCTGCACTATGTTCTGCCTCAGTAACGGGTCAACAGGAATATGAGGAAGCTGCGGCCACAGCTTGGAGATGCAAAAGTCACTCCCTGCTCTGGCCTCTTGGTGAAGAGGGCATGGTGTAGAACAAGCAGATTCAAGCACAGAGGTTTTCAGATCCTTTTCCCAGGGACTTGGCCTCTTCTTCCTGATACTGAGACAGACTAGGCAGATTCTGGCTTAAGACCTCTGCAATGCTAATGACATTAGACAAGCAGGACCCTGAGCTGTTGCAGGAGGGAGGCAGAAACCCTTAGTTAGGTGAGGGTGGATTATCCTATGCCTGGTTTAGCCTTGTGTAACATACTTAGTTTCACGCGTGCCCCCAAGCACTTTATGACCTGAATGTGCAAGCCAGATACTCAGAGTAGGAGAAGCATCTACTGAATGGCCCCTTCTTTTTGGTACCTCAGGTCCTTGCATTTAGGCAGGCACTTGTGCCACTGAGCTCTATCCCCAGCCCAATCCTTTCATATTTATAATGGCTCTAGGAGGAAACCAGAAATATAGATGACCTCCTCTGGCCCAAGAGACAGATCCCACACAGAGTTACCTGTCAGCTGCAGGGAGCCCCAGCCTTGGGGATTTTCTCCTTGTCATCAGCTATCTAAAATGCTGTAGAGGAGCTGGCACTGATGGGGGCTAGACATGGAGACGATAACCCATTTGTGTGAGGGTTTTGTTTGATCTTTGTCATGGTTATGTACAGTCAGAGATGACTATAGAGACAAAGGGCACACAACTGCTGGACTGTTCAGCTGTTACTCATTTAAAGCATGATTAGTGTTTTCTTCTGAAAGTTAAAGAGGTTTTGTTTCGTAGTTATTTTTCTAAAACCTATGATTCTTTCCTTAGCTGTACAGATGCCCAATAGGTGAATAAAAGAGATTTAAACTGTGACCTTTATTTTTGTATCTTCTATTACCTTAAAGCTTTGAATATAGGTATGTTAATTATTTAGAGTTTTAAAGTCAGCAGTACAAGTTTTCTTAGCCCCAAATTTCCTCACCCTTCCTCATTCTCTTAAAGCTGAGGACATCAGGAGGAGAGTAACTAACTCTCAGGATTCACATCTGAGTGCCAGTTGCACAGTGTCCAATTCCAGACTCCCCTCGCTGCATCGGTGCCTAGCGGTCCCCAGTCACTGTCCTAAACCTGTGTCCCAGGAAAAGCAGAGCCTCACAGGCTGGCACTGCCACAGCAATCATTTCATGGGAACCCAGTCACCCCTCAAGTGCTCAGGATTTCTCCATAGCTACAAACTGAGACTGGGATAAGACTCACCTAGACCCCAGCCCACCAGAAACCCAGAAAACTGGTCTTTTCTCTTTGTTAATAGATAGATCTGATCCTCCTCAGCAGAGGTGCCCCCTCCAGCTGCAAAAGCTAGTATCCTTTCCTTTGTTTTTTTCTTTTTTTAACTTTCATTTGCTAAGGGGGACCTTGCTTAGCTCCTTAAACTAAAACCCCTTCCCATTTTCTATTCTTTTCAACATAAAGCTTTTTCCTACAAATTTTTGTTTTAATTTCCATTTGCATTAACACAAACACCCGTACCAGTTGGTGACAGCTGTATGATTTGCAGGGACAATGAGGAAACTGAGTCTCTTTTACGCAAGCTCTGTGCTTTCTCTGTGTTCATTAGTGTTCACATTAATGAACACACTTAGTGTTCATTATCCCACATTCTTCATGACATTCCTAGAAAGTCAATAGCCCCACTTTACAGTTTAGAAAACCGAGACCTAAGGATAGTAAATGATGTGCTCAAGCTATCAAACTGAGATGTGAAACCAGACCTGCCTGACTCAGGTGCCTGGACTCTTCTTCTGAGCTATCTGAGTACTTATTTGGGATTCTCAGCCCATGTTCAGATTTTTCCAGCACGAATATTAACAAGACAGGAGGCCCTGGGGGATGCCATGGGATTAAGGAAGAAGAAATTCATGAGTTCAGGATAGGCCGTGACATTACAGAGGAGTTTCTACAAATCCTTAAATCCTAGGAGTTGCTAAAACACATTCGGAAAATCTTCAGTTTCAGGGATACTGACACAGTGATTTCAAGAAATAAAGTCACATGTTATTTTAAAAGTCCTCCAGACAAAGAAAAGTTGTTCAGAATCCTCCTAAGTTTCTGAGTGACTTTGGGTAAGCCAGTGATACTCTTGAGGCCTCAGTTTCCTGACAAGATCTCCAATCCTCTGTTCTCTGATCTCAGAGTCAGATCTAACTTAGCCCACGCGAATGGCTCCCCAGTGGAGGGATCCTGACATGTTGATTGTGAAGCGAGCTGCAGACAGTTTGGTATCAACATCAGATGCACAAAGCAGAAACCACCCAAGTACCGTCTCTCCCTCATGATGAGTGTGCAGCACAGAAAGGAGTGGAGAGCCAGTAACACCGGAATGACCCAGGTACCAATTAGTGGTGATTCCAGGTGGGCATAAGGGAAGGGCCAGCCTGCTGCAGAGCTGCATCTTAGCAAGGTGGTGCAGAGAAAGTGGCATTTGTGCGGGATCTTCAAAGACAAAGAGCGTTTCCTACTGGACAGAGGACACATTCTATTCATGGTCTTCATCAGGCATGACAGCACGGGTCTATTCAGCCCAAAATAACTGAGCTTCCCCCAAACCTACTGCATCCTCAAGGAAGGCCTGAGCATGTGCTGTCTTTACTGGGTTCCCAGTCCATAGCGAAACCAGTCAGTCAGTCTCCCAATACCCAGGGAAGATGAGTTGCTGGGCACTGCTGGGACCAGGGGACAGTCTCCTTCCTCTAGTGATTCCCAGACCCTGTCTTTTTTTGCCTTGTTCTTTGCTCAGACCTGCCCAGCCGTGTCCAGTCTTGCCCAGCCCTGCTTTCCCCTGCCCTGTTCTAACCAACTCTAAAAGCCCTACCTACTTGTGCCCTGATCTGCCAAGTCCTGCCACGCTATGCCCAGTTCTGGTGATTTGTGTCCAGGGCTGCTCACATCTATGCCTCATTCTGCCCAGTTCTGTCTGATCCTGCCCAGCTTTGCTTTGCCCGGCTAAGCTCCACAGAGCCTGGCCAGTTCAGTCTCACCTAGCTGGCCCTGCCTGCCCACTGCTGCCTGGCCTAGTGTTGTGCTGCTTTGCTGGCCGTGTCCTGCCTGTCTGTCTTGTGCATAGATCAAAAGAAGAAACAACTCATGAAACCCACTACTGCTCCTGGATTGAGAACACTGGTGAGGACTAGTTGCTATATGGATTTTCTTAATGGAAAGTCTTGGAAGAAGATTCTCTCTAGATTCAGTAGTAAGTTTTGTGCTTCTTTCTGTCATTTGGAATATTTGTACCTCAGGGCATGATGGCTTGATGAGTTTTCCCTGGAGAATCTTGAAAGAAAGAGAGAACCCAAATGCATTGCAAGCCTTTAGCAGAGTATAAATCTTTGTGGCGTGCATTTTT